CAGCGGCGGCCTTATCCATTGCGAGGCTCTGGGCGGCAGATCTTTGCGAGGCCCTTGTCCTTTGTGCAAAGTATGTGAATTGAAATAGTAGGCACTTATTAATATTAATATATACTGTACTATAAATTAAATTTATTTTATTGTTATAACTAATAGCCAAGGATAAAATAAAAAGTTTTAAATATTAACTTTTTTCTACTTGGTTGTTGCGCAAGGCCCCTCCAAGAGCGAGGCCCTGGGCGAATGCCCTGCTCGCCACCCCCTAAGGCCGCCACTGTATATATATATATATATATTTATAAGTTATAAACACTTGTGCAGAGATTGTTTTTTGTTTATACATGCTGGAAATTGCTTCTGTATTTGTTATTACATTTATTATTTGTATTAGCAATATTAATATAGGGGAAAGATTCCCATATTTTTAATCTAACATATTTATTTAAAAAAGAAATACAATAATTCTAAGAATTATCTTCATAAAATGTAAAAATTTATTGAATTTTTTATATGAAAACATTTTATTTTTATTTTTATTTTTTTGAAAATATTAAATCTTAAATATAAACATATATGTTACCGTATAAGATACACTATTTATAGTATTATTATAACATTTATTTCATCTTCTGTAAATATAATAATTAATGGTAAAATGAAAATTGGTTTAAGAAGTGATTCATAAAAATCAGAAAATGTCAAACAGTTTTTTGCAGATACTGTATTATATATTTTTATTTAAGAAATTATTATATCAAATTGATGATAACTTTATAATAATGAAACAAATTTATAATCTGACTTAAAATGGAAAATAAATGTGTACTGTATGTTTTGTTCAAAATTAAAAGTCTCTATTGTGTTATAAATACTTTAACAGTATTTACAGTTTAAATTTTAGCTAAATTTTCAAACATGCTACAGATATATTTACTATATTTTAGACATAAAAAATAATTATTGACTAAATTTTTTAAAAAATTAAAATTTAATATGGACATTTTATAAAAATTGCTATTGCTTTATCTGCAATAATAATTTTTTTTTTTACATTTAAACAACACCAACAATACTGATTGTCACTAATATCTGGAAAACATTTGTCTATTGGAGCAATAATTATTATTGAATATTTTTTGAACATAATAATGAAATTAATGTCAAAATAATTTATCATTAATTTCAAGTATATTTTTATGAATTTCACAAAATATATGTGATTTTGAACTAAATATTGGGACTGAATCAATTATCATCATATGGAAATGTATTAGAAGGAAATTCGATGTTATTGATGGCTGATGCAATCTGATATTTCTTTTTAGAGAAATAATGATATTTAATAATATAAATTTTTTAATGAATTTATAAATAATTGATTATGTTGTATCATAAATAAATGTTTTAGTGAAATTTTACTTTTATTGACAAAATTGGATTTATAATGTAACATTTATTTAAATAATTTCATCTGTACAAATATAATACAGTGGTACCTCGGTATACGTCTGCTTTAGAATATGTCTAATTCAGAATATGTCCTGTTTGGACGAAACAAATTTTGCTCAGCATACGACTTAATTCAATTATACGCGCCATCTATGAACAATTAGCACTATTGGTGTACTAGACCAGACTAGACGTTCATGGTGCCACAGTTTATAACTTTGTTAAATTTCTTCTGATTTTAATTTGTAAGTAAAATTTTATTATTTTTATTAATCATGAATTGCAAAAAGGCAAATGAAAAGCAACAGACAACTAAAAAAATGACTAGAATCACAATGGAACTGAAAAAAAGATTGTTGAGAAATATGAAGGTGGTATGCGTGTTCGAGATTTTAACTGTTGCATACTGTATTCCGAGAATGACGATATCGACAATTGCGAAAAATAAAGACATTATTAAATCTGCTAACGTTGCGAAAGGGGTTAAATCAATTTCTAAATAGAGATCGAAGACCTTAGATCATGTCCAGAAATTGCTTTTGCTTTCGATAACTGAAAAACAGTGCTGGAGACAGCGTATCAGGAGCAATTATTTGTGAGAAAGCTAAAAAGATACATGCTGATCTCATGAAAAATCAAGCAGGAACTAGCCAGGAAAGTGAAGTGTTTAAAGCCAGCTATTTTTTTTTACATGAGAATGGATTAATCATTTTTACATTACTTCTTATGGGAAAGGTTGGTTTAGTATATGTCCAAACATCAGGAATGGATTAAGATTGTATNAACTTTTAACTATTATATTTTGTCATATTTATAAAAATAGATAAAACTAAATGTACAGATAAATTATATAATGTATACACGAGAACATTAATACTTCATTTTATATTTAAATGCGTCATTACTAGAATTTTGAAAGATATTTAATTATTATGATGTAAATAAGCCATGAAATAAATTTATCCTTACTTAAAACTGCCATTTATCACAAACATAAACTAAGTTTTGCTATCATTTTAAATCTTAACATCATTGGTAATCCTATATCATGACCCTGTACATAAGTAATCTGTAAATATGTCAAATAAAAATTGTTTCATTGTACCAATTCATCCAAATAAGTTAATAAAATTTAAATTAAAAACAGTGAGAGATTGATTAGATAAGCACACTGTTCTCACAATAATAATCAGCATAATCTAATCGAAAATAAGAAAATATTTCTTAGATAAGCATTAAGAATATAGGCCTGCATAATTTTCAAAGAATTAAGGAGAATTATAGTATTAAGATTTAGCAGGTTATTCAGGTATCATTCATTTTCACCTTGTTCAACATTATTCAACATATATTTTAATATTTTTAAGAAAATGAGATTAAATTGATAATCAGAAACTTTACAATAAATTGCTATAATTTAACTATTTGTAATTAATATTTATGCACAAAATGTTAAGTTTTANTCCCCGAAAGCCTGCTGAATCTTGAGAATGGTTTACACTCGGGTATCGCCAAGGTTTTTGGCAAAATTTGATGTAATATCGCTGCTCACGTTGTTCAGTCATTTTCCAGCTTAGTGAAATCCGACGAGAGCGCACTACATGACCTCACTCATACGCCGATTACCAACGACTGATGCTTTCTGCAGGCGGGAAAAAATTCAGGGCTGTGCATGACTGTCCCCTCCACAACTCCACCGAAGGAGGCCTCTCTCGCATCATTGGTTTACGCGGAAAAAAATAAGGTCCGATACTTTTTGAACAGACCTTGTATCTCACCTGAATTTAAATGTGTTTCATTGGATAATTGGCCCTAATTAGAAAAAAATATCTGTGCATATGATACAGAAATATAATTCCTTATAAATAACAATTATTTCTTAATGCAAAATTTCACAACTTACTTTTATAAAAATTCAAATAGATGAAATGCATAAATTACATGCATTAAGTAAAAAGATACATGTAATGTATTTATGGATGTAAAAACTGCTTATAAAGAATTAGACATTGCTTTATTTTAGGAGTTTATACATTTGTTTCATTTAAAGGGAAAAAGGATGTAGGTGTTTGATTATTCAGGATTAGAAACAAAAACTTAAATACAGTAAAATTATTAATATCATTTAGAAATCCATTATCAAGACTGCAATATTTTATCAAATGGCAACAAGTTTTTCTAATTACAATTGAAATGATAATTATGATTACTTTCTAATTTTAATTTTTAATCTAAAAATAATTCTCATTTAATTTTTAAGATGACATACAATCATTTAAAAACTATGCATATTGATTTCAATATTTATATTTTCTTATAAATACAACATGACCAGATAACCAAAAATAACAAACACTAAAAATTTGTTTTAAGAAAAATTTAAACAAAATTTAGTAATAAAAAAATAATTTTTCTTTATACAAATATTAATTAATAGAACTTAACAAAAGCTACTTGATTGAATTATCAGAAGTTTTATTTTATTCAAATAATGTATCACCTAAAGACTGTTTACTTCTTTATTATTATGTGTAAATGTACATGTAGGACTTGCATTTATATTTATCTTATGTAAGTCCTAAAATTTAATTTTTTGTTCATATGTATTATAACATTTTATTTGTTCTTAAAGCCTAAATTTGGCCTATTAAGTAGATTAAAAACAGCTGCAATTAAATTTACATTAAATGTATAAGTAAACTTAGAGCCATATTTATATATAAGCTATATAAGCCATAACTTATGATCTCATATTGGCAGCATTCAGCAGACTCAACAGTCGTAACTGAGCAAATCGGTAGCTGTTATATAGCAACCTAGATCTGCCAAATGATGAGTGACGTCGCGTTGGAACAAAAAGTCTCATTGGTCAGTTTCAGGTAGGAATAGGTAGTGTAAATGAAAGACGCTACCAAATGTGACGTCAAAACACCAAACATGTTCCGAAAGATCGCTACTGTAGAAGGCATTCAGCAGAAAAGTACTCAACAGCTCCGGAACTGTTGAGTCTGCTGAACGCAGCCATTATGAAGGGCCTCGTTCTATTTTCAATGACAGTTTATACATATTACCCATTATTAATTGGTGAAGGAGGAAAGGCCATTTGTATATTGTAGCTTTGGGCCACAAATCTAAATCTGACTCTGAAACTTATGATTTAGATTTGTTTTAGCCTTAAGCTATATCAAAAAGATCCTCTCCCTTCACAAATATTAATGATAATAATAATTGTTTTTCAGAAAAGAACAAGGCCTTAAGTTGTATCTTGTTTATGTGTAAATATGGTCATGTATGTAAACATAAGTGAAATATAGGTTATATAAAATTATGGGTGGAACTTTCTATAGAGTTAAAACTACTAATGTTTACATATAAACAATTCTTACATATTAAATCTCTTGAATAAGAATTAATAAGTGACCTTTAATAATTAATAAACTGAATATACTTCATGTACAAAGTTCCTAATGATTAATAGTTGTATGTAATATCAAACATGTAACTTTATCTATCATATATAAACAACATACTTCTAACAATTTCTTTTTACAAATGAAAATAGATCAAAACTCTTACCTTTGGTCTATATAACCACTTCCTTATTGAATTCATTTTGTTTTTTTTTTCCTTTTTGTTAATTTTTTACTAAACAAATTAAATAAATATACATCTTAAGTTTAACTTTGCTAGAATGGGACACGTTGTTATTGATTATAGCCATGTCTGAACTGATTATGTATCATGTTAAGTAAAATTAATTNATAGAAAACTTTGTCATTAAAAGTTAAATTGAAATATCTCATCCAACTATTCTTTTTTTATTAATAATTTTAAATAAAAAAATATATAATTTTTTTGAAAAAATGCTAATTATTTTCTATAAATTCCTAATATTATTGTCTCAAATTGCTTTTGTATAGTGGGTTGCCTCATGCATTGTTTTATCAATGCAAATGATTTCATTTAAAGACAGTTGCCATGATTATGAAATTAGTATTGATTTCAAAGAAGTTAATATTTATCAAATGAATTTTTAAAAGATTATGATAGTAATTTTGCAATATAGTTAATGTAATAAAAAACATATATAAAAATTTGGGCTTAATTACATATATACATACATACAAGATAGTGTTTTTAAATTCTTAAGGGAAAGAATTGAATAAGTATTCATTCAATGGTTATTTGAGTCTCTTGGGACCTTAACCACCACGACAATCTCCTTCCATTTTTCCATCTTGTGCCTTTTGCATCCATCCAGGAATTGCATCCAATTGGAACATGCAACTCCTGCTTACCATGCAATTGCATTAACAATTATGCTACTCAGACTACTGATTTAGACCACATATGACCATAGAAGAATGATTTAAAAGATATAACCATACTAGTCACTTTCTACTATATAGTGAGTGACTTTTATAGTTATATCTTGTAAATTAATTGGTTTGAAAGTGAAGATTAGATAACAGTTTGAATAATGTAATTGGCAATACAACTGCATAGAAAAGAGGAATTATGAGTTGTAGTCTCACTTCAGATCAGTCTTTACTTCCAGAATATTTTAAATTAATTAATTTTATTTTATTAAAAAGTTCAATACAAGTAGTCCAAAAAATACGTAATATCTACATATTTAATTGGTCAATTTATTTCCCAATAAATCTAGCATTATCATTTTATAATTTTGGTCTTAGTTTACTGTATAATAATAATTAAATCATATTAAAAATTCTTAATTAAAAAACTTCTTGAAAAAGTAAATTACTGTCATATTATTAGTATTATTATTAATCTATATATAAATAAGGCACAGTCATTTCAAAACTAAACATACATAATTGTAGGAATATGATAGTAATTCTGGCAAGTTTTTTTCGCATGGAAACAAGACCAGTACAACTGACATGTCATGTGTCACATAATGCATAGTGCATGCAAACACCACTAGTGGCAGTGTACTCACTGTCCAATTGTCAAAATGAAAATTATCAAAGATCTGCATACTGTAGTGCATTTTTTAACAACAGAAGGTGTTGGAAGCAGACAGATGCATAAGAGGATGAAAGCAGTGTACAGTGATTATTGCATAAGCCTCACACAAGTGCACATGTGCAACAATTGTTCCTACAGGATTTCCCTTTCCTCAGTGATAACAACCAGCTGGGACAACCATAGAAAGCTACAAACATTGTTGTGTGTATGGAAGAATTGATTTGAGGGTAATCAGCATCTCACTGTAAATTAAATCATGGCACTAGCAGCTCTGAGTCATGGTACCATTCATCACATCATCATCAACTGACCACAGTACCAGAAAATCTGCTCATTAGGTTTCCCATAACCTTGATGATGGTCAAAAGAGCTATCACATGGCCAATGCTTTGCAGGATCTACAGTGATATTAAGTATAGGATGTCCTCTTTATGTCTCACATTGTGACATGTGATGAGACATGGTACCATCATTATTAGCCCAAAACAAAGAGACAGAGCCTTCAGTAGAATCAATCTGACTCTCTGCCAACAAAGAAGTTAGACTTCATTGTTGGCTGTACAGAACAGTATGGATAATGTAATGATGACATTGTTTTTTGATCAACATGGCCGCTTCTCATTGAGCTCTTTTCTCCAGGAGCTCAATGAGGAATGCTGCATGCTATGTCAAAATGCTCAAGAAGTTGCAATGGGCAATAAAGCAGAGTTCATACAGACCTGGAAAGCCAGGGAATAATATTTTTACCTGGAAAGCAGGAAAAGTCAGAGAATGACATCAAATGTCAGTGAAAGTCAAGGAATCCAAAGGTACCACAGAATCTATCTGTTGCTCTCACTCCTTTTTGATCTGAATATGTCTTTAAATTCTATATGGTATAAGGGGAGACTACAAAAACTGGAGCAACCAAAAGAATGGCAAGATTTGTCGCGCTTATATCTCATAAACTATGAATGATAATCTAATAATTAAAATTCTGTTGGATAGAGGGTTTATGTTCATATTTAAATTGGTGGGTAGTGGTAGTGTGCAGCTGAGGTGGGTTTGCAGTTGCACATGAACACTGAAAGTCATGATGCTGCATAGTATTTGGATAGTGTATAACCTTGGATCATGAAGAGATAGGATGTTGAAATTGGTATTGATTTGTACAGAAGAATAGGATCTACAATATTAGAGAGGTTGCGACCGACATTTAAAATGCAAAAACATGTATGTCGGACATTCAGCGCCACTTTCCTATAAGCCTAGAAGTTTGACAATGGTGCTTGGATAGTCAGTGGAATCATGCTCGACATTCCAAACACCATTGTCAAGCTTCTAGGCCTTTAGGAAAGTGGCACTGAACATCTGACGTACACGTTTTTGCATTGAAAACGTCAGCCGCAACCTCTCTATTGCTTAGCAACAATAACCAATAATATAGAATTTGTAAAGTTATAAGTTAATAAGTGTGCAAGTTAAAGAAAATTTTAATAATATCAAAGAAATTGCAAAGGAAATATGAATAGAAATGTAAGAAATATATATCATTGGAAATTTTCTTTTCCAATGATATATGTCTCTTACATTTCTGTTCATATTTCCTTCTGTTCATGTTTACATTTCTGTTCATATTAAAAGGAATCAAAAAAGCTTGAAATGACTAATGCTGAATGATGCAGATTGTATAGAGTGAGTAAGAAAATCGAGCACATGTAAATACTTCAAGTGCACCATTGTTTGAACCTTTAGATATTGACTTGTGATAACCATCAAAACTTTATTTGTTTACATGTTATCCTTCCTCTGATAACACAAAAACTGATTTGCGCCTTAAATAATTGCAATTATGTCGTGTACACAATCCTCCCGATTTTTTTTTGACCTGAATGACATTTGGTTAATTAGTTGATGCCATAGGATGGCAAAGAACTGTCAGTCAGCTTAACAATATTGTGTACAGGACATTCGCCACATGGTTCCAACTGGACCATGTGGCAGACCTCGTTCAATCATTCAATTTATGTATTTTTATTTGTTGTATTCTTTGCTGCTGGCACCATACAGTATGTTGAGATAATAATCCTGCCAATTTTGACATTGATGATCTGTGAGATGTCTTTTCCCTAATTGCAAATTTTCATCTTCAAATGGCTCATGGATTTTTGGAAGTATAGCAAAATATCGCCATAAAGTTAAAATTTGGTTTTCAAAACCTCCATTGGCAATGAGCCACTTTTCCACCAAAACTCTGCCACTGCCATTATAAGTTTCAGGGAGGGATTGGAAGAAACGTAATGACCTTGAGTGGGTCTGTGCTGGACCATGATAAGCAATTTCTCCCTCTCACAGAGGCATGATTTATTCTGTTTAAATTATTTTGAATTTCCCACGTCATCACTTTAAGAAAAATTGATTTTATGATGTAATGAGAGTCTTTTTCTTATTTAAATAAAATTTATGAATTAATTTAAATAAAATAATGAAATTTTTATATGACATAGAAATGACATAGCTAATTATGTAATCAATTTCATGTGATGTTTTTTGTTTTTTGAAAGAAATGAATAAAGTGTTTTTTAATAACAAAAGTTTATATAATTGTGTGCAAAATGGGCTTAAATAGACTTGGCCAAATATTACATAATGGTAAGGAGGCATTCAGAGACCTTAATAGATCAGGAAACAATGTCATAATTGGTCAGGGAATCAGATAGAATTACCTTTATGGACCTTGTAAAGTCAAAATGCTCTGAGCTGCTCTTGGAATTCATTCATTCAATATGATTCTGTTCCACAACAAATGCTCAATTGCACACTACCAATGTTGTCCATGCCATGTGACAGAAATTTAGATGAGAAATGCTCATGCAACCTCCCTATAGTCCTGATATGTTCGAAATATATATATATGTATATTTATAAACATTTGAATTTCTGGCATCTGATACTCAAGCCCATTCTTATCCAGACAGAGTTATGAAAGTATATCTAATATACCAATAATCATCACTTGTTCACTAAATTGCTACAGATGACATTGCATATAGTGTAAATTCACTAGATTTTTCTATACTGTAACAGATGGTATCTGTCTATTCTGTGTGAGTTTTAGTCATTTTACTTGCATAACCATAGCTATAGAGCAGGGATGGCCAACACATAGACCGCGGTCGACCGCAAAGGTTTTGAAAGTAGCCTGCAAAGCTAAAGTTGAACAATTTGCTTTCACTTAAATTAATGTTTAAAAATCTTAATTCGATAATTTATTCTTACAATATTAGACTGTCTTTGCAACGTACCCATACTATTTGTATTTATCCCGATGAACAATGCAAATGAATGTTAATGCTTGCGCATATAAAAATCCTAAAATTGTTTGCCCATATTCATAGTTGCCCACAGACTATATTTTACCAAAAAAGTAGCCCCTAAGGGATAAAAGTTTGGCCACACCTGCTATAGAGCTATAGCTTCTGATACAAATGTCAATGGTTTCAAACAAATATCTAGATCACATTTAATATGTACTTAAGTTTTTAGTATTCCATAGTGCTTTAGACATGAGAAACATATAAATAGTGGTCCAGGATAAATCATATATTGTTGCTATTAGCTGTGTATGATGTTAGTTGGTCAAGCAAAACCATTAATCTGATAAAGTTTAAAACCAAGCTGGAAAATTGGTAGGAAACCTGTATTACAAAAAAAAACAAACTTAATTTTCAATAAGAATTGAATTAAATACATAGTTTTTTATAAATACAAAGTCTTTTTACAAAATGATTTAAAATGAATGCATTCTAAATGTAACAAATGTTCGAAATTGTACACATTTGTAATACTTTAGTAAAAGAAAGAACAATATAAGACATTTAACCTAAAATTTGGAGAATACAAATAAGATAAATTATGAGTTACACAAGTAGGAACACATACAACAATAAAATCCTGAGATATTCTAAAAACAAGTAAAATATTTTATCCCATTACATACAGAAGGAAAGTTAAGATGTGATTATATAATAGCAATAGATTGGATATAATGTAGATTACTCAGTTTATTAAACAGTAAATGTACCTAATTGAATACCTTAATAGCTTTATTTATTAACATGTTGGCAGTCAAAGATCAAACGACATTAATCATAATTAATGACTAAAAATTGATAAACAGTTTAAGAAGACAAATGTATTTACTTCATTTTAATGCTTTCTGAGATATTTCACATCTCATCATCAGATTGAACACTTAACTATAAACTGATTTAAACTAGAACAGTTAAGCATTCAATTTAGTGATGATAAAAAAAATATATCAAAATAAATACATTTATGATATTGAACTTTTCTTTTTGAACTGTTTATAACATTCTTATTTGTTTGATCTAATTGATATTTATGTTCTGTTGAATAAGAAGTATGCTTTTGTTAATGTGTTTCTTTTCTTAAAGATGGATTTAATTTATCTGAAAGTACTTTGGATATTGTTATGAATGAAAATTATATTTTTGTGACTCTACTAAAGAACATTTTGTAAATTTTCTTAAAATTGGAGAGTTTAGTGATTTTATTTTCCATTCATAATTTTTTTAAGAGATCTTATTAAATTGGTTTTACTTCACATTTGTTTTTTTGTTTTTCAAAAACAGAATTACGGATAAATTTTGTTTTTCATTTCAAAATTAGATATATTATCATCATTTTGTCACAAAATCATATATTAATCATTTCATGTGATTTTATTATTAAGTATTTTATTTTATCTTTTATTTTTTGGCTTATTTGCAGATCAAAATCATCAACATTTTTAATATTGTTAAATTTGATTATAAGAAATGTTGAACTTAAATTTTTAACTAATAAGATTTTGATTCAATATTTTATGAAATCAAAGTTTTAATTAATATATCTAATTTAATAAATTTAGTAAGAAAAAATAAATTTTATATAAATCTAAATATGCTTTATGGATATTTGTAGAGGATAAAATTCAACGCCACCGAAATCGAGGTTTATTAAAAGAATATTACGGAATGCAGGGTAACAAAGAAAACCAGGAAATAAATCCATATAATATTAATGGGCCTGATTTTAATCCTGATATGTATTTGAATAAAGTAAGAAAAATTGTTTTTTTAATTGCAATTAATTTTATAGATTTGCACTAATGAAAGATTGCTTTTACAGCTCCTGAAAGAATATAGTTTGACTGAATTAATTAATCAAGAAGATGAAATTTATAAGCAGATTCAATTACTTGATAGTGAAATGCAAACACTGGTGTATGAAAATTATAATAAGTTTATTAGTGCAACTGATACAATTCAGAAAGTAAGCATTTTTATTTATAAATTAATAATTTAATTTTATATGTTTGAATATTGTATCGCCTTAGCTAGATAACTAAATTAGTAAAAACATCAGCCCATGTTTTGGAAAATTTGACTTTGAATTTGAGTTAGATCCATAGCACTTTTTCTGGTTTAATTATATCATGTCTCATATCTCATTAACTGGTGGCTCTATTAAAGACATAACCAAACTAATGATGAGTTTGTTATAAGGCATCTTTAATGCTCACATAGCAGAATGAATAAATAAAAAAAATTAAATTTCTTTCTACTGGAGATAGAAATTATTGTATTTCTATAAAGTAGTTTAATTAAAAAGATCATAATTGATACATTTTTTATTCCCCATAAAATAAAAGAAAAAGGTTATGGAGTAAAATCTGATAGTCTTATTTCTAAACCAGTGATTCTCAACCACTGTGCCCTGGCACTTTAGTATGCCATGAGATTTTTGAAGTGTGCCGCCACTGCAAATATTCATACATAAGCGATGTCAGACAAGTAGTTTAATCAGTTCTTCCTTCCTAGAGTGCATTTGGAAATTGTAACCCATGTAACTGGTAACTGCCAGCAGTTACCAAGGCATTTAGAAACCCCACGTTTCTTTATGCAGCGAGAGTGTAGCAAAATAACATCACAAGCAGTGTTGGCCAATTAGAAACCAGTTTCAGTGTGTTTGCTATAAATCGCTTCTCGAGCACTGCATAAAGAAACGTGGGGTACATGTGACTTAAATAACCAATTGCGTTTAGAAATTGCATTATGACGTCACTGGTTGTCCTGCGGTACTTACCAAAGTAACCGTGTGTGCCGTCAAATTTTTAAATTATTAAAAGTGTACCATGACAAAAAAAAGGTTGAGAATCACTGTTCTAAACAAAAGTAAATATGAAATATATAATTAATAATCTGCAATATATAAATTAAATAAATATATATGTTCTGTTAAAAATAAAAAAAGATTCTTTTGTAGTAATTTTACATATAAAAATTGTAATGTATCTGTGATTATGTTATTTTGTGTCAGCAGCAGTGTGTGTCACAGACTTTAGTTTAAAAATTATTTATTGGACCTTACAAAATTTATATTTTTGTTATACAGTATATGCATATGAACATATACCTATTTAAATGTTTCATACTTTTATATGGAATATTTGAAAATTGTTTTTATTTTTTTGCCAAAATGTAAATATCCAACTATGCATCCAAGACCTGTGTCCTCATTTACTGTATTGCATGCACCTAGTTGATCTGCCATTGTTTTAAGATAGATAGTTTTGAAGATGATGAAATTTACTCTTCAGAATACTTAGTTGAATAAAATTTATAACTTTTANAATAAATACATTAAGTATTTATGAATAAAAAAAAAGTATACATAAGGGAATCAAACCCGAGCACTCAAGTGTACGAGTCAGGAGCGTTACCACTCAGCCACAGGACGCTCAAGCAGAAGCACGCCTAACTTATAAATAAGTGCGAAAGAAACCTTTAAGTTCATTTTTCTCGATTATATTTGAGTATTGCACTTTAGTATTTTACAGGTAGTACACTCACATGGTGTATTACCTCTACAACAAAGATCATCAAAATCCGTTTCCCCAAGGCTATAGGGTCTCCTTGTTAGTTCAAAAATAAATTTTCTGGCTTACTAGTCACCAAGTCTTGATCAGGATATCATCTCAATCACTATCCTTATTAACCATTTATGTTGTAATGAAAATAACATACAAAAACTAAAGAATTATCTTCTTTATTTTTTATGTATTTTTCTGTAACAATTTGTTTAATAATTGCATCTACACAATCCTCATTTTCATTGCAACATGGATGGTTGTTATCAATGTATAAAAATTCTTCATGATTTCTAATATTTTATAGTTCATAAATGATTTCATTATTGTTATTGGTTATATCAGGCATTTTCTGTTCTGAAGTCTTAAAACTGCAATGAGAAAAGCAGTCTCAAACTGTGGTACAGCTTATGTTTCTTTAGCTAACAGTGGTATATTGTATTGCTTTTAAAACAGTAACCTTTGATCTAATTTTATCTGCTTTTGTACATGATGATAAGATATTTTCTTCAATTGCTTTGATCATATATTCTACCAGCTTCCACAACACAATGTTTCAAATCTTTTTAATTCCCATATCCAATGGTTGTATTAAGAGTGTGGTATTAGCCACACTCTTAATACTTAATACAGAAGAAACTTGATTAATGTTTTTCAAACACACTACATAAAGATGAGCAGCAGGAATGTTCAAGAGTAGCATAATTGTTCTTGATTTTTTTGCAGTTCTGCATCCTAACTCATAAGCTATTTCAGAAAAATGTTGGATGTCATTCATACATTCTTGTTGGTATAATACTCAACTGATAAACAGGAGATTCTAAGATCTTTAAAGTGTCAGTCATTGGAAATCACCAAGGTGTGCTTTCCAATGACTGATAACTTTTGTTTATCACTTTCTGACATTATAGCAGCACAATATTGTAATGTTATCCATTACTTTTTGAACCTGATAGTATTCCATGTTTATAAGTCAGAATTATCTGAGGTGGCATGGTAAAACTGTTTCATCTATATTGTAGATTTGATCAGGACTAAATTTCTACAGCAATTAAGACAACTTAGTTTATTTCCATTCTTTGGCACTTGTAATGTGAGCACTTTTTCACTGTGTGCCCTCTTTAATTTTTATTTCATGTCTGATTTTCCATCATGATAACCACCCATTTATATCTTTGAAATTTATTTGATACATTTTTGTAGCTAATTCTTCTGATTTGGTTTTTAATATCAGCCCTTAACATGTATTTCTTTGTAGTGTATGCTGTATTGACAAAGTTTCAGGATATCTCAAATAAATGAAGTAAATTTGCTTTAAATTATCTCTCTTGTTTCAGTCTTTTAATATACAGTATGTCCCAAATAAACAGTGATCCCAATTAACCAGAATGTACTATATTATCATATTTTCATTTATATTAACAAACAAAAATTAGAATTGCATCAACCACAAAGATTGCAATTCACTGTTGACTGCATGGAGAGCACATTATGATAACCCCCATGGAAGAAAGGCCAATATAATGACCAAATGTAACTTTACTATTGATCCCCATATTTTTATATAAGATATTTTTGATTTTTTAAGTGTTAAACAATAATACCGAAATAAATGTTTTATAATGGAGAAAGTACCATGAAAAAATATTTAACATATAATTATAAAAAATGTACAATTGAAAAACATATAAATCAAGTTAACATGCCTATAACAATGGGTGGGGTTGGAGAAATGCTAATGTGAACTGAGGGGGTTAGAGCGGAGAGCTTCTCCCCACTTACCGGCTTCGTTGTCAGAGATGGCTTTGGCAAATGAATGGGGAGGGGTAGTGGAGTCGTGACAAGGTGTCCAGATAACTACACAGGTTGAATAATACTAACACATTTAATAAACAAATAAGAGATTATACATATCAAAGACAATAAATATAACACACGCATAATAAAAATAAAAACCTATCCTATATTCTAACCTAACCTAAAGCTAAAGATCGAGAGAGACCTCTCTAAGAGGGACATGTTGGGGAGAGAGACAAAATTCTGGCAAGGGTTTACCTTGTAGTATGCGATCTCTTCGTATAGGGAGTTGGTAGGACGCACTAGAATCGGTCACTGAAGTTCCAATTGAAATTTCCTTTGGTTTCCAATCGAAGTTCCCTTGGATGGCGATAGGCAGCGATGGACGGGGTAGAGGTCTTCGATGACGATATAGAGATTTTCTTCAGCTGTCCGGAGGGTTGCTTTGGCGTTAGCTCCTCAGCTAACTGCCCGGAGGAGCAAATTCGTCCCCTTTTTATACTCACTTCTCATGGGAAAAATCTGGGATTTCGTTGACATAATTTGACATCTCTCCAGATTTATTACCGTCTCCCCAGCCGTAGAAAAATTCATTGCCTTTTTTGGTCATTTCTCATCAGGTCGGACTTATGGGGGGGTCACGGGATTTCGTTTTACCCTCGCCGATGACCTTCTGGATTAGCATCACACGTTTGCTGCAGCCAATTGGATATTTATTTAAATGACGCAGTCACCTTATAACCAAGCGATCCCCTTGCGAGGGGGGTGTCCCTCTTCGGATGATGAAAGTCACCTTCGAATGTGACGCATTAGTGTAAAAATTTATACTATCGTCTGAATTCTCACACTAATGTTTTAAACCCAATTAATAAACTATCTTCTGACATAAACAAGTGTAAGAGGAATGTCTTATTCAGCATTTTTCATAATCTATTCATACCTGAAGATGGCATATTAACTGAGTCAAAAATTTGTTAATATTTTTCCAACCTTATTCACTATAAAAGCATATAAGTTATTTTATATTAAACTAGCTGCAAGATCCCGCTTCGCTGGGTTTTTATTTGTATGTAATAGTATAGTTATATATATATATATAAAAGACTGTTTTTCTAAGTAATCTAGAATCTAGCTGCAAGGACCCGCTTCGCTGGGCAAAAAGTAACGATAGTGAAGATTAAGATAATTACATTATAGCTAATCTTACCCGTTTTCACAAAATGCAAGAATTAGGTCCCCCGTTTCCAGACTAATTAGAGAATTTTTACGTTTAGTCAAACGAACTATTTTCAACGTTTCTGGAACGTTTACAATCGTTCTATAATCGAACCAATATTCGAATTTTATGTTCGAATTTAATTCGAACAAATTCGAAAAAATCGAACAAAACATTCGAAATAGAAAGCCACTTTCAACCACTTTCAGCCTCATATCTCCCGCACCCTTATAGCTATCGAGACGCAACCACCCCTATGCACGAATGGAGACTTGGGGCTACCACCACATACAAACACCATTCATGTGCGATGTGTAATTTTGGCAAAAAAGTGAGATATAGGGACATACATGTCCATTTTTATATATATATATATAGATTAATTAATCATTGTATTCTTGATCTATCACATCTAGTAGAGTAGGGATTCCTAAAATTTTACTTCTATTGACTCCCATATAAAAACTATTCTTTTCAATCAACCTCCTTAAAATGTTTATTTTCCAGGATTTTGCATAATACTTTATATATCAAGCAACTTACGGTATTAAATTAGTTAATGAATTTCCTGCGTGATTGTATTTATTATTTGAAAATTGTCTGAAATTCTTGAAAAAATACAATAAAAATCTGATTTTTTTATTGACTCTCAATTGACCTCTTTCAAAATTTCATTTACCCCAGGGGGGTTTATATTGACCCCATTGGGAATCCCTGTACTAGATCTACACATACTTTCATATTAGGTTGAACCAAAAGTTCGTTTGGGTATTTACATAATCGCTTGTCTGTGGCACCTCTGTTGTGCTTATCAAGTTTTAACTTGTTTAGGTTGACATTATGAATATCTGCATATTTATTACATAAGTTTAATTACAACTATTTTTAAAAATTTGTTAACTTTTAAGAAAAAAGAAACATTAAAATGGAAGATATGAAGGTGCATTTACTACATCTGATGCTCTATTATTTTCGAAAAGGAAAAAATGCAACTGTGGGGTTTTAGGAGCCCTTGTGTGGGGTTGGGGTGGCACCACTGTAGTGATGTGAGCCCTTAAGGGGGGTGAAAAGGTTACGACCCTCACTTTACCCGTGATCTGTCAGGATGACACGAGAAAGCCTTTTCCGTATGGGGGTCGCGGTTTGCTGGACGCAAAGACTCACACAGAGACCGTATTTACCAATTCAACGCGTTTATTTGGATTAGAAAACATGCTTACAATGCGTTACACTTGTCGGATCTTCGATATGCGTCCGTCCAAGACAGTTCGTCGAATTGTCCGTAGTTGTACTTGTTGTCCGTAGGTTCGAGGTTCGTCACACACACCAAAAATCCCGGGAGGAGAAAGTTCGTCTCCTCACCCGCCGTGGAGGTCTCGGGAAGTTTCGCTGTTCCCTGGGGCTGGAATCCTTAGTCCTCTCCTTCGGAAAAATCTCGGAGTGGATCCGTCCTCGGGGACTGTCGAAGTTCCTAACAGCTTCTCAAACTCCCAACCTCCCCGTGTCCTTGGGACCTCGGGCTTTTATAATCTTTCCTCACCCGAAATCCCGAGGTTTTGGTTGGTCCGAATGTTGGTCCCTCTGCGCTTCTATTGGTCCCGGGTCTGTTGCCAGGGACGCGATTCGGGCCGAGGGGTCGCCGAGATGACCCCCGTCCGGGCCGTTCTCCTCCGGAGTCGGGTCAAGCCCTCTCCTGGATGACGGTCTCGTAAATTGTCACCTAATGTCTATTTTTCGGTCCCGGAGAGGAGGAAGCTGTCTCAGCCGCCGCCCCCTCCACAGGAGTGTCAGCAGGACCTGCTTTGAACTCGATGTAAGGTGACCGTCCAAAGTTTCCCCGACGGTCGATCCCTCGATCGTTCTCACGATTGACGACCGTGAATCTGTCAATTACGGCTGGAATGCGACAGTTAAATCGTCTCGCACCCCGTTCCTTGGTCACACCGGTCCTATTTACGTACTAAGTCACCAATATATTGACTTTAGCTCGACAGCCAGTTTCCGTCCGAGGGGGGGTGTGGTCCCGGCCTCACACAACAAAAACTCAAAAAAGATATGTGTTGTACAGTCGAACCCACCCATAACACTTGATAATTCTGTTTTATATGAATTCCATGTTGTACGAGTCACTTAGATTTTACAAATATGTGTGCCAGGCTGTGAATGGCTTGCGTATTTGTAAAATTTAAGTGACTTGTACAACATGGAATTCATATAAAACAGAATAATCAACAGTGTTATAGGGGGTTGACTGTATAATTAAGTGAAAAATTAACTGTATATGGGAAGGATGCAGTTATTGATCAAACATGTCAGAAATGGTTTTCAAAATTCAGGGAGGGAGATTTTTCTCTTGAAGATGCACCTCGGTCAGGACGACCTTCAACCATAGAAGATGAGTCCGTAATGGCTTTAATTCAAAATGATCAGCATAAAACAACATGAGATAGCCGACATCTTAAAAATATCCCAAACATCTGCTGTCAGACATTTGGCTAGCCTCGGATACACTTCCCATTATGATGTTTGGGTTCCCCATAAGTTAAGTGAACAAAATCTTATTGAGTGTGTTTCTGTATGTGATTCACTTTTAAAATGCAATGAAGATGATCCTTTTTTAAAGTGATTAATAACAGGCAATGAAAAATGGATTGTTTACAACAATATTCAACACAAGAGATCTTGGAGTAAGCCAGGTGATCCTCCAATGCCACAACCTAAAGCTGGTTTGCATCCCAGAAAAGTAATGATTTCAGTTTGGTGGGACTGGAAAGGGGTTCTTTATTATGAGCTTTTACCCAACAACCAAACAATTACTTCCAATAAATATTGTCTCCAACTGGATGAACTAAAGGCTGCCGTGCATCAAAAATGACCGGAACTTGCAAATCGACAGGTAGTGGTATTCCATCATGATAATGCAAGACTGCACATATCATTAAACATGCACCAAAAACTTCTAAACTTTAACTGGGATATTCTGAGTCACCCTGCATATTCTCCAGATATTGCTCCCTCAGACTATCATTTTTTTCGTTCATTGCAGAATAATTTAAATGGCATAGAATTTCAATCTTTAGAAGGTATAAAAAATCACATTGATAATTTTTTCAATCAGAAAACCACCCAATTCTACACAGACAGAATTATGAAAATACCCATCAGGTGGCATAAGGTTATCGAACAGAAGGGTGAATGCATTGTGGATTAAAGATTTTTATTTATTTCAAAATAGTATATTTCATATCTTTCTAAAAACTGAACAAACTTTTGGTTCAACCCAATATATAATAATATGTTGCATTTTGATGTGTTAGTTTCATCCTGATATGATTGAATCATCTATTGCCTTATGTGGATAAGATTTTATGATTATTTTTTAAATCAGATTTATGATAATCTGATTCTTTAAAAGGAAAACAAGATAGACTAATTGTCTTGCTTGTTATTCTTTCAAAATACAAAATGCAGTTTTATTATGTATTATTATTAATATAATTTTATAACAGATGTTTTTATTATTTTTCTTTTTTCATTCTTTCTTTCTATAATAACATTGCTCATTTAACTTAACTTGATTTAATTTGATTTTTTTCATTTCAAGATGAAATATGATTTTAAGAAAATGGAAGAAGAAATGGATCTTCTTGCAACTAATATGACAGCTATCACAGAATTTAGTGGTTTAATATCTGGAACTTTACAAGGTCGCCGTCAGCAAATCTCAAAACTTTCAGGTGTTCATACACTTTTGAAGAAAGTATGGATTTTTTCTGTTTACAGTAAATAAAAATAAATATAACCTAAAGTAAATATAAATATAAATTTTTTCTATTACTTTTTTTAGTTACAATTTTTATTTGAATTGCCTCCTCGTTTAAAAAAATACACCGAAAATGAGTCATATGCTCCAGCTGTAAGGTAAAATATTCTCACTAATTCAATATTAATTTTAAAAATTATTTTCTTTTCCATTTATTAATGAAGCAATTTTGTTTTTAAGATGTTACACCAAAGCTCAAAAAGTGTTACATCAATATAAACATATGCCATCTTTTCATGGAATTCAAGATGATTGTAACGTTATTATAAGTGATCTTAAAGAAAAACTTCGAGAACAGTTTAAAGCTAAAGATGTGGGTTTTAATTAAATATTTTGTTTTTTATAGTTTTTTTCCTGTATATATAATAATATTTTACCTCATTAATATTAAATTATTGAAACTATTTAATGATTGCAGTTAACATAAAATTGGTTGTTATTTTATATATTGATTTGTTTTTTTAATATAGTACAGGCATATCCAAAAATATGTCTTGTCAAAATTTTTCCAGTAGCATATCATACTTTATAGAACATATATATTTTTTAATACAACATTTTTATGTCAATGTTTTTATAAGAAAAATTTATTTTTACATCAATACATAAACTTTAACAAAATAATATGTGGAAAAAGTCTCAACATTCTAAAATGCCACTGGTACAATATCAGAATTACATTTAGACATTTTGAAATGCACTGAATATTAATAAACAAAATTTCCATCTTGGATGTTTCTGGCATGGGAAAGGCTTCAGTTTACCAATTTACTGATATCTCTTATATCAGAAAGCCTAAACACACTTTTGTGACATCATTAACAGTAATAAATTAATTTTACATTTTACAGAAGTACCAGAAAAATTTAAAATATGTAGAAATTTATTTATTTATTTATTGTTTTGTAAATATTTGTCTACATTTTTTCTAAAAAGTGGCTTATGTTGCTTCTCAATGTTGCTTATTGCTTATTTTATTTATTGTACCATATTATAAAAATAATATTTATAGGTATAGCATTCAAATTTTGTATGTTACTGCAAATAAAGCAGCTATTTGTTAACAGTCATATTAATCATTTGGTGATCAGAAGCAATGTTTTAAGATTTTTAATATGCAACATTTGATTATTACTTATGTATTTATAATTTGTTACTTATATGTGCCATTTTATTGTTTTTGCTAGATTTGAATAAATTAGTTGGAGTTTTATATTTTATTGCAATGCATTGTAATTTTTGTTATTTAAAGTAATGGAAAATAGACACCTGATTAATGTTTTGCATGAGACATTTTATTTTTAGAAACATCTTAATGACATTAAATGAAGGATGATTGTACAATTATACCATTATATTATTAATATGAGTATAAATCAAGTACAATCAAGTTAGAGGCAATAGATATATTTATTATATAAGTTATTTGCTCCCATCTGAGGTAGTTCATTCAATAAACAATTATCCTCTTTTTCAGACAGTTTGTTAGTAAACATTTGTTTCCATTTGATATAAGTTTATTTTCATATTTTTTTGCTAACAATGTTTCAAATCTTTTTAATTCCCATATCCAATGGTTGNAAATGAATTACATTTATATTTTATATATAATTTTTAAGTTATTTAATGTAGATGAGCCCTATTACATAAATTTTAGTTTAGTTTCATTTAAAGTAATTAGAAGTAATTTCATTCTTGCCATAGTGATACTCTTTACCATTCTTGCTATTGAACTGTCCAGTATAAAAATGCTTCTGAGAATAACTTCTTAAGTTAACATTCTGTTATTCATTTAGCTGCAATTTGAAAAAATTGTAGACATAAGTTACCACTGTTGTCTGTTTGTCTGTCCTCCTTTAATCTTGAGAACAGTGTTAGATAGATGAAAGTCAAGACCGAGGGAGGTCCCAATTAACTATATATGAACTTCTGGTCTAGATCAGAAGTCACATGAATACAATTTTAAAATTCTTATCTGAATGGAGCTACATAGATGACTGGCATGATTGTTGTTATCAGGAAAGGGGCAGGACATTACTAATTTGAGATGGAGAACATATATTTTAAATTAAATAAATTAAGAATATGATTAAAAATTGCAGCTCAGCATTGTGATAATGTCACAATAAATAATTGTTCATTCCCAATTATTTTTTAATTTTTGATTATTTTTGAAATTTATTATTAAAGAAAAGACTATTGTAAATTAAATTTTGGCCAGGAACACTGATGTCATATACTTTGAATAAAATTATGTCTAAGCAAAGAACTCTTACAGTAGATGAAAAAGAAATGAAAAACTACATTTGATTAAATGTAATCAACTTGGGTATTTATATGTAAACCTTTCAAAGAAACTTAGATCATATGATGAGGAAACATGAACACATATTTATTAATATTTCTTTGTAAGAATTAACCAGAAACAGAATCAAATCTATGTATGTATCTATCTACAGTATCTGTGCAGAATAAGCTAAGGTAAAATCTATTTTCAATTCATTAAAGTACTGTTAAATATTAAGAAATTTTTTGTCTTATGTTTTATGCTTCTTTATTTTCCCTATTTATCTGTAAATTTAACAACAATTAATTTACAGCAAGTACAACAAAAACACTATAAATGTTTAATAAATGCATTTTTTTATTAAACTTTTTCATTAAAATTACATAGAATTAAATCAAATTCACTATATTAATATTTAAAAGTTTATAAATAAAAATCTTAAATTATTAAAAATATTTGAAAAATAGATATTGAGAATCATTTTAATACAGAATATTTTCATGGCAAGATAAACATATTTTTGTTATATAATCATTACAAAGAAAATTTATTAATATATATGTGACCATAGGGTCGGTGTCTCTTTGACACCATGTCAGGATGTGACACCACTGAGTCTCACAGGACTCGGAAATCGTGACTTTACGTCACGCAAGCGGTAGCAGGTGAGCGGTTGGATTCGGAGTAGAGGTGAGGAGAGAGACGAGGAAGTGACTCACTTGGACTCCATAGTAACAAATGAATAACAATTTTAATTATAACAAAAGAAAATACAGATATATTCGATATCGAGCATGCCTAAAGTTTACCCTAATGATACTAAGCCGTTCGAGAGAGAGAGTTTACAAACGAATCGCAGGTTGATAAATACCTTTCTTTTGGGTCAAAGATCTGTGGTCAGATGACACCGCCAATGGAATGTTCGCTCAAAATAGTTCTAGGTCTTGTCTGTAAACAGGAGCCCGGAGGTGTGAAGTCACTGAAGTGGGGATGATATCCTTAAAGAAGCACGGTATTCATCCTGGAGTCTTGGTCTCAGTATAAATCCCGGAGGACGACTTTGGTGTACGGACTTTGGAAGATGACTGACCTCGGGTGTTTTTTCCGTTTTCTCTTGTTATTCCTCTTGGGTTTTTTCCATGAGGTCAGGTGGTTGTTGTTAAGGGTCTGGCGTCCAATATGGGCCCTCTATCAAAAGTTCCGGGTGACACATCGCTGACTAGCTGGATCCTCCTCAACAAGGAACCAACTCCATGGGAAATAAATTTTTATGGCTTTTAGCCTAACACTCGAATTTAGATGATGGAATGTTTCAATAATTAAAATTTAAAATAACACTTTATTGTAAATTTTCTATTCAACAAGTTTATAAATGATTATACAGTATGGTCTTGTTCTATGCAGATGTTGCAGGCACTGCATAAAGCAACTTTTACATAAATTTGTGTTCTATCCCAATTTCAGATGATTGCTTTAACACTTATGCAGCCATTTACGATTAACAGAAAATGTTAAAAGTGTTTTTCTAATGAATAACATTTTAGTCTGATGTTTCTGACTTTACAGAGAAAAATTTGTAAGGAACCAAGTCTGAGCTTTATTTTTATTTTACTTTTATTTTGCTTTCATTATATTTTGTTTGGGGCTTATGTTTAGTTAAGACGAAGGTTTCCTCACCATTCACCTTAGTAACTTAAAAATAGAAGAAAAACCAACTCACCGACGAAAGAAAAGCGCCGTAGAAAAACTCGCGCACACTTGCGCTTCCCAAGCGGAAAAA